AAAGGAAAGAGCGGGCGTTAGCGTCCACACTTCATGATCACCAGTGCACGGTATCAACGCCATCTGCGCGCGATCAACGCCATCGGCGGGGAGGAGGGGGCACGAGAACGGGCGGTGAATGGGGCGAAGGCACCACCACCACTATTCCCGCGCGATCGGACCTCGCGAGCCGCCCGCGCGGGGGTGCAGACTCCAAGGGGGAGGAACAGATGCGCAGACGCGGGATCCGCTATCCATCATCTGGGCATCCGAGGGGGAACGGACGGCCGGTAGGACGATGGGTATGCACACTGATTGCATGCGAGCGCACCGAGTGCCCGGGAGCAGCGGAATGCACCCCATTGCAACCCATGCTGATTGCACGCGAGGACGAGCGCACCGAATGCCTCGCGGGGATGCAAACCCTCACCCCCAAACGCAGCGCAGACAGCCTGGCAAACAATAAACCAGGAACAAAACGCACCTTGGGCTCCTCCAGGCACGCATCGACGCCCGGCTTGAGGTTGCGCAGGTCGCTGAACACGCCCTCCTCGAACTTCTTCATGTTGCGCACCGGCCGCCCGAACGCCTCGAAGCGGAACACGAGCGCGCGCACGATGTCCGTGCCCGTGATGTGGTACAGCCCGCCCCAGAGCACGCAGCTCACGTACTCCTGGTTCGGGAGCAGGAACCGGTTCAGCGCCGGGTGCGTGCTGTGCGGGTGCCCCGCCGGCGCGAGCTGCCCCAGCGCCATCCCGCCGTTCATCCCCGCGTTCATGTTCACGCCCATGCCCATCGCGGCGCCCATGGTGTTGAGGGCCATGCCGAAGGGCGCCGGGGGGACGGCGGTGGACGAGGACGGGTCCGAGTTCCAGCGCGACGGCGCGGTCGCGAGGAAGAACTTGAGCTTGTCGAGGTTGTTCAGCAGCTCGCGCTCCTGCAGCGTCAGCGGCCGGCTCAGCCCGCCGTGCGGGCCCGGCGCGTCCGTCAGCGCGTCCGCGATCGACTGCCCCTGCATCTCGGTGTCCACTCCAGCGTTGGGATATTGCTGCTGTGACTGCTGCTCGAGGCGGGCCGGGTGCGCAGTCTGCTCGTCGGGCTCGTGCTCGTGCGGCGCCGGGGTCGCGGTCTGGATCTGCAGCGACGGGCTCGCGTGTTGGTGCTGGTACTGGGAGGTCGAGGATGACGACGGGGGCGGCGGGTAGCGTTGGGAGGAGGAGGCGTAGCGGTGATCGTAAGCGTCGGCAGGGTAGGCGTGTGCAGCCGATCGTGAAGAAGACGAGGATGCGGAGGACGATGCGGAGGAGGGTGGGGGGAAGGCGTGCGCGTCGACCTGGATCGCGAACTGGCTGTATGCGGCCGGGTGCTGGGAAACTAGGCTGTCCATTATACGGGGAGTACTCTTCAGAAGGGCGGGTGCGAAAGTGGGGGCCTGCGGACGGGACTTGGGATACAGAGACGAGAGAGAGCGTGCAAGTGGGTGGTGCGGGACGTGCTCTGCCTATGTATAACTGCAGGCGGGCGGGGGGAACAAGGATGGACGGGGACGCGTCGGGTGAGCACAGGACGATCGGGCGGGAGGAGAAACTGCGGAGATGGACGTACATTACTGTGTGTGCGTGGGGGTCCGCGGAGGACGGGTGAGACAGGTGCACGCGCGAGAGCTGGCTCAGGAGGGCGCAGCGAGAGTGACACGGACCTCGGCGGGACAACCAGACAGCGCAGGGGCCAGGACCCAGGGGTGCGGCTGGAATACTATTATACGGGCACTCGAATGTGGATCGCACGGGCACGGCGGGAGACAAGGGCGGTCGGACGCGCAGTTGGATCCTGGGGTCGTCGGGCGAGGCCGATCGCGTCGTGGGTGGGCTTGGTGGGTGAGGGGCACGGACGAATTATCAAGCTGAGTAGTAGGGCAGGCAAGATAGGAGGACGTGTGATTTGGACAGGGATTAGAATTAGTAGGGCACACGCTCGACGGCGAGCGGGGCTCTGGGGGTGAGGTAGGGGAACGGGAGACGCGGCGGCGGGACGGAGGGAGAGGGAGGACGGGGCAGGGCGACGGCGGAGGGAGGGCGAGGTGATTAAGTAAATCTGGCAAGCCTCGATGCGGCGCTCTCCCCCTTCCAGCTCAACATAGTCGCCCACCCGCGTCCACCACGCTCTCTCCCAGCGCTCCGACCTCGAAAGCGATATCCCAACCGCCTCCAGCTTTTCGCCCGACTGCCCTTTCGCCGGACACGGAGCCCCACGCGTTCCTTTGCACATTCCACGCCCTCCCCTCGACACCGAGCGTGCGGGCCAGGCAACGCCCGGACCGACGTCAGAGATTCGGGGTCCGCTTGCGGGGGACGTCAGATGCTTCTGGCAGGCAGGCAGGCCGTCCTTCACACCACGGCTGCCCTGGCAGGTCACACAAGAAGCCCGGAGTCGAACAGGATGCGCTGTGAACCTACGCGAGCATGGCAGATCGCAAAGATCCCCGGTCCCAGGCGTAAGTCAAGCTCAGCGCTCAGGCCCCGGCCATCCTGCCCTCTGTGCCCTGCCACCGCCCCATCATCATGACGACTCGCCCTCTCATCATCAGCCCGCACACAGCCTCCCGCGCACCCGCCCGATTTGCCCTCGCACGCACGCGCCCATCACACCCACCTCCCATCTCCCGATCACCCTCGCCGTGCACACTTTCAGCTCACGCAGGATTACCGCGCGCGTGCTTCTTCATTCCACCGGGCGACCTCCCTGGGTCGCGCTCGAGCCTGACTCTGCACGCTCTGCGCGCGTCCCCTCCCAAGCCGCCCTTCGGCACCGGCCACCGCCCCAGTCAACGCCGAACGGTGAGTAACGACCGTCCACGCGAGCGAATAAGAAAGAACAAAGCCGTCCTCGGGAGGCACCCGCCCGCACTCGCGGCTCGCCATACCCGACCCCGCGCAGCACAGCATCGTCGAGCCGGCGCGCGTGCCCATGGCGATGCTTATTCGCGTTCTTCCCTCGTGCGCGTGCGGACCCGAGAGGGCCCAGGGGGGGCGGACGTGCGGCACGGGCGGCGGCTATGGCGGGGTTGGGCGGGCGCAGGTCGGTTCGGGCACGGACGATATGCAGTTGTTGCGAGTAAGTTGTGGCTCCGGAGAGGACGCCGCTGCCACTACGAGACCGGGCTTATGCGGGCGCACGTCGGTTCGCTGAGGGCCCGGTCCGCAGGCTTTGGCTTTGGCTCGTCGAGCTCGAATTACGGATGTGCTAACGTCGTACCGTTCCAAGTTTAACACCGCCGCCATGTGCCCCCAGTGCGCTACCGCCGTTCTCACACCGCGCAGTCCATACACCGCAACATATATCGTCACGGAACCGGCTACGTTCAACGTCTACGTCTCGCGCTGAGGAACCCTGGTTCTGGATGTACAACTATCCGTCTCTCCTGCGCGCCTCCCTCGACGACCGCTCTGTGACGCCCGCATTTGCCTGCCAGCTGCTGCACACAGGCGACGTACCACCCTCTCACCTGGCCTCGCATGTCCGGAGGCTACACCTCAACGTCGCGCGTCCAAATTCGCTCACGTACGGTGACCTAAACGTAAGTACAGCTGTTCTACATGCTATCCTAGTGTCCGTATGCTGACTACTGTCAATCTGCTCCTACAGTCCTCTCTCGCCCCGTCTACGAGCGTCGCTCCCCGCAGACACCGCCCTGTTCACGCGCTGTAACGCACCGTCAGCGACGTCCACAGAGGACAAGATCACGCACTTACCACGTGTCCGCGCACGCCCAGCTCGACGTGCACCGAGACTACCTCGACGTCAACGCAGCCAGCACAACGCCCCCGCCTACAAACAACACGCTCAGCACGACGACACGACCAGCACGAACAAACTCACCTGGCCACGGCCACGGCGAGCAGCTCGCAGCTCGCAGCGAGTACAGAGGACAAGAAAACGAGCACAGGGCAAGCACGAGCGGACACCGACACCCCATCCCCACCCCCACCCACCCTCTTATACTGCCCCACTTCCGGGCAGGCTCCCGCTGCTCCGGCCGGACACACGCACGCACGTACACCCTCCTCCACTTCGCCCCTCCCCTCCGCGCCCTCGCAACCCGCCCGCGCGCCCGCGTACGCAGAGATGAGCGCCCGCCACGCACGCTGTGCCTGTACCGTACAGGGTGCCAGGGCGCATCTCCGATCCGCGTCCGCAGGGTCGGCGCACCGTGTCTGCGCGGACTTTGTCGCCAGATCCGGCGCAGCGCGCGGCGCGCGGGGACGCGCGGGACGGCTGGCGAGGCGAGGCGAGGCGAGGGGCGCAGGTGGCTGCACCCCGGGGGAAGGTGCGAGAGGAGCGGACGTGTCTGGACGTGGCGGGGCACGTTCGACGACGCCCCCAGTGCCTACATATCGAGCGCGGGGCTGTTCGTGCTCTGACCCTTCCCGCCGCCGTCCTGCTGCAGCCGGCACGGTGGGGATGTGTCTCGTAGTCCGCTGTTTCCATGTACGCTCACAGAATACATTCCGGAGGCGGCGCCGTCGACGTCCCCGACGCGTCCTGCATGTATCATCTCGAGGACCCTTCGCCGTGTCTGTGTCTGGGACACACATCCTGCTGCTAACGAGCTGACTTAGAAGATGAGCGCACGTCGACGCGAACGCACGCTCGCCGACGCCACGGGGAATGCAAGAGAGGCCGGGCACGACGCCCGCCGCTCGATATTCGAAGAACGCTGACGACGTTGTGCGCATGCGCGCGGAGACTACACACGGACGCGGGGCACGCTGTACGGAGAGTTCTGCGGACAGCGCGCACACTCGCCGTGGGCACGCGATGCAGGGCCTCCCCATCCCGCTCACGAGGCACATAGACCATCCCATCCCACCGACGGAGCGCACCCTGCGCCCGCGCACGCCCTGCCCGAATCGTCCGCGCATGGCACGCCGCGGAGAACGCCCACGACGGGGCCTGGGAGCCCCGTTCACGACGTGCGGAACACATGCTTCGCGGTTTGCGGACACCCTCCTGCGTGGACACACGGGCGCGTGCGTCTTCACTCCGTGAATGGAATAGATATCAAGGCCATGAACCATCCATCTGCGGCCGCGCGCGACGTTCAGGCGGGACCGGGAGCAGTATTCCTGCCGTCTCGTGGGCCGAGGCGTGGAATGCACGTCGTGCACTAGACGATGCATCCGGGGGCGTGCCATACGCTGTGCAAAAGCTCGTCGGGAACGGGGAGGCGGGGAGATGACTTGTGTCGGACAGCGTGTATTCGCATGGAAGGTACGTACGCGTGATCCTCTTCAAGCT